CTCGTTTTCGTGCAGTTGAAGGCGCGGTCACTAAGTTTCGCAATTGGTCTATAGTCGAATAAATGTCATATGTTTATGTTGCATTGTGTGATTCGTTGTCTAAACGAGCTGAGTGTGTCAAAATTGCCGTCGGAATATATAATGCTGGTTTAGGCACGAGTTTCAACCGCTTATATTAATAAAAACAACGATATTCACACCTAACGCAGATGGTTTGAATGTTTGTGAAAATGCCTACATTTTAGTGGGAGCTATATTCCTGTAGCTATAATATTGTCTAAACGACGGGGTCAAAATCACACAATGTAAACAAAATTTGAAACCAGAATTATAATTAGTTTAATGCAACATAAACATACGACATTTATTCGACTATATCTGTGCGAATATTACAGGTACAATAATTTTACGTATATTATCAGATAGCTGATGCGTGCAGCTATTACATAATATTATTACATAATATTGTAGCTAGAATATTGAGCGAGAATTCGTTGCCTAAACGAGGGTGTAAAAATTGCCGTCGGAATACACATTCTGGTCGGAATATATGTCTGGTTTTAGGCACGAGGTTCAACCGCTTATATTAATTCGAAATTTAACGACATACACCCCTAACGCGGATGGTTTGAAAGCTTGTGAAAATGCCTACATTTTAGTGGGATTTATATTCATGTTAGTAGAAAATTCGCCGAGAAAATGTTCGCAACAAACTGTTGTTATATGCCACGGAAAATCAAAAATATATTACATTTTCAAAATCTTGCCTTGCTGCGCATGTAAGCACACGCATTTGAAGCTTTCAAAATATATAGTTATAAACCCGTAAAGACACAGTTGGAACGAAAGTTTATTAAAATTGAAACGGCCTTATTTTGAAAATGATTTTCTTGAAAATTGATTTTGCGTCCTCGTTTCACCGTATATTAAAATCGAGCTTCAAATCAACAGTATAGTCTATTGATAAATAGTATTCACTATAAAAACTAGCTATATAAAAACTAACCTTCACTGTGTTTCCTCCAGAATATTAAATAGAATATCAGCCTTGCACAAAATGCGATTTCTTGAGGTTGTTTGCTGCTTTAACTTGTTTGTTGGGATTTTCGGTCTCCTTGTGTCAGGGCCTCCGCCAAAACTGGACATATAATTAAATTAAATTCCATGTTTTACAGATTCCGGCTTTTACAATTCCATGTTTTACAGATTCCGGCTTTTACAATTCCGGGTTTTACAGATTCCGGCGTTTACAATTCCGGGTCATTCCATTCCCCATTCCATTCTGGGATTCCCCGTTCCATGTTTTACAGGTAGCCTATTCTTTATTGTCGAAATATTCGGCTGTTTCATTCTAACGCAGATATACTACTGCGTTATAACCAAGACATATATAGCCATTTCCTAGGGGGCATAGCATAGCTACAAGTAGCTACAGGCAATTCTTGTGGCTTTTTTCCAAAGAAATAAACTATTTACATGGATTCACAATCCGCAATCCGTAATCCGCAATCCGTAATCCGCAATCCGTAATCCGCAATCCGTAATCCGCAATTCGCAATCCGTAATCCGTAATCCGCAATCTGTAATCCGCTACCTTTAAAGTTTACCATGCCTTGTTAACAAACAGTTTACTTATCATCATGTCATTACTCAAATTACTCATTTTGTCTCTAATACTTTTTGCTTTATCATGAAACAACCCCCCCCCCCCCTGCATACCTTTTGGCCAGGGCAAGGGGGGGGGGGGTTATAAATGCAGTGGTCATACATAATTGATGTTAATAAAATGCTTTATTCAAAGTTACAATATATAAAGTAAATACTTAAGATTCATTGCAACATTTTCATGTCACCAATACACCAATATTTACATGTAAAATGTCTACTAAAATATGTATCTATTAAAAGGCTGGTATGGGCAAGTCTATATAACAGGTTGCTCTTATTATTCTGGTTCAATAGTTTCATTGCTTGAATCAGTTGAATGGATCATGAGCACAACTTGGCTGGATTAGATGTTATACCATTTGCCAAAGCAGGATGTAGGAACAGTTTGATCAATAACAGTTCTAAATCAGCATTAAATTCATAAGTTGAACTTTTCCCATACTTAGGATCAACAATATAAACAACATTGCCATCATTATCAGATTCCATTTTCACAAAATATATATTTCGAATTCTATAAAAATAATGGTAAAATGCAGTGTATTTAACTTAAATGCAGCAGTTAAACTCAACAACGATCGACATATATGCACATGCTTCGAAATAAAACAAAAATAATAACGACTCGTACAGTAATTTTGCTCGCGCCATAATTCCACTGAGCTATATACTATATTACTGGAGGACCTGCTCGGGAAAAAAAAGTGAAGCCAAAAACATGGCGGATCTGACGCCATTGCCATGACTACTGGTCCCTAAATTCATGGCAACTACCACTGTCCCAACCGCGATCCTAAGTTTTCGACAATGTACTTCACCCCCCTGGATTCAGCACAGATATTTTATGATTTCGCTTGTTTTTGAGGTAAAAATCGCACTGAAAATCTTGATATTTTTCTCCTATAACTTGGTTGATTTACAATGTCGAGGATCCTGCCTTTTTGCGCCGCTCGTAGATGTATGAGATGTACAAAAAGAATATTTTTATTCACCGGTAAGATTTTTATATATTGTAGAAAATTTGAAGCAGAAGTACAAACTACAAAGTTTATAATACTACGAACATAAAAGTATATGAACAGCAAATTATTAGCAGACATAACAACCTGTAAATGGTTGGCAATTCTGTACATTTTATTGTCCTTTTGATTTGGTACTACTACTGCTATAGCGATATTTGCGTAGGGTTTCATGGCTGGTTAATATGATTTCAAAGTCCTTGCTGTAGTGTCTGCACACTTGTATTTATTTAGTATTTTAGTATATTAAATTTTCCTTGACAAACTTTGAGTGATATCCTTGCTAGGTTCTTGCCAGCAGTTATTTATAATTACTGTGTAGTTATATGAAATCTCACTTACATGACATGTAGACAAGTGAACAAATACTTCGCAAGCTAGGTGGCTAGGCCAAAGACATCAGGTTCAAACCATTCAATACCCATTGCAATCAAGCAATTACCATAAACATATAAGCCCCCCCCCAATATAAGCCCCCCTGTGTATAATCCCATCATATTTACTCAGGCTATTCCGAATATAAGCCCCTCCCCCCTCTAATGTAAGCCAGGCCTGTGTGTACAAGCCCATGGGCTTATATTATTTGACAGGGGCCGGTTGTATCAAGCCCGTTTAGCTTAATTTCTCATGAATCAGTCAACTTAAATATTCTGCACTGAATATGTAGTTGTAAACATCATTCTATTAAGGTTCAAAACTTCTAGTTTGGTTGTTGAATGAATCTATAGAGTCTGAGTTGCTTTCTATTTTGAGCTTAAATTAACCAACGTTTAAAGGTGATCTACAGTCCGATCTGCGCATGTGCACAAATGAGCCCACTTTTTATAATACAAACAGTTTAACTATGTTTTGAGTTCTTGAAAAGCCTGATTGTTGTTTCTTGATCATTTATAATTATACTCTAGAAGCTTGAAAATATAAATAATTGTCGAATAAAGCTCAATATTTTGGACACAAAAATGTAAACAAAGGCTTTGTTTACATACGGACTGTAGATCACCTTTAAGCTAAACAGGCTTGATACAATTGGCTCCAGGTATATTTATTAATGCAGCTTTAGCCATACATATTAGAATACAAGCCCAGGGCTAGCTGGCTTACATTCAGAGGCCGGTTTACAATATCTCGCCCAACATATAGTTTGTCAGAGTTCTATAAATCCCACAGTCATTGGAGGTAATATAGGAATGAAAGGTGCACAATATGTGTGCCAGTCACCTTGGCATTGACCGGCCAACCTTATGCTCTGACAATTAACCTGAATTGATTGATGATATGTTTGAGAGCAGTTTCAGGTTTCAGTGGTGGTGTCCCCAGTATTGGAGTAGAGCTCAAATTTCAGTTAGATATATTATTTGTGATTGTTGTGAACCTTCTCACTTAGATCATTTGTGATATATTGTAATTAAATGTAAAATGAAACTTTGGGGAGTTAAGAAATATAATTAATTGACAAGACTGTCCCCTTGACAAGTAAAATTGTCAGGCATTAGACTGCCTGAGTAAAATAATAAGCTTGGGTGCAATTAACTGCTGTATGCTTTAAAGTTGGTTGCATGCTTTAAAGTTGGTTGCAAGCTAGCTGGGCTTATAAATGCCAGAACTCATATGTGAAAAATGCTTGGATCAATTTATTTCATCCGTAATGAACCCATTTTTAATCCTTTAAGTGGCAATGCGCCCCACTACAATATTTTACTCTGTCCAATGCCAGACAATTTTACTCGTCAAGTTGAGAGTGCTGCCCCTCGATGGGTTCAGTTGCATTGCACCCTACTGTATATGTTCGTGTTACTTTGTCTAACGGCAACAATTTTACTTGTCAACAAGAGAGCACAGTGGTACGTGCTGAATGGGTTAACATATAAATAATGTCTACTCTACAGTAAATTTCCCTGTAATTGGACTTTGGAGCCTGGTATATGTGACTCACTATTTCTTCAAAGTGTGTTCTAATGATACTAGCTGTCACTATTTTATAAATATAATTGACATTTCTCATTTAGGGTGATCCGGGATGTAAGTCATGTGCCTGGACAAGTTCTTTGGAATGTTCAAATAACAAGAATAGTGGTGTTATAGTAGTGGTGGCACTTGCCAGACCTACCGTAACTGGAAAAACTAACAATGACTTTTCTCCAAAGTCTTATATCAGGCTTTTTTTTGAGGGATTTTTTAGGGCCGTTAAACGGCCCCAAAAACTCAATCTTGAATTGAGTTTTGAAACTTAATCTTCTTACCAAAGTTTCAGTGCAGTAAAAATGAAGTTGTTTGAGTTAAATTTGTGACGTGTGGAAATTAGTTTTCAGTTCGAAACCCGACAATTAAGAAAAAATGGCTGGAATTCATCTCACAACACAAGAAAAACTATGCATTCGCCATCGTTAACCAGTTTATAGTGTCCCTCAATGCCCCTGCTTTAACACATTCCGTCTCAACTACATTTGTTGAGTACAAGTGTCAGCCCCCCGGTAGGGGGGGGGGGTGCAACCACCACAGCTGTTCAGCTAAACTCAATCTTCTCTGCAAAAACGGATCCAAGAGAAAATCCTGAAAAAAACCCTGTTATATGTACTACAAGAGATGGCCCAAGGCATCAAAACAGGGGACAGCCAAAGAATCACCCATGGAGCTACAGTTATAATAATACTCTATCACATATTGTAACTTGATTGTACAGTTACAATTATTAATTTCATTGATAATTATTCTTTGACCAAGTTTAATTAAAATAATACAAAATTAATCATGATTTTAAATCTTTAATTTACAAACATGTTGCAGCTTGGTACTGAGTTTCATTAACAGTTAAACAACAGTGGCATGGACTCATGCATTGTTGGAAAATTCTGCATCTCTATTGTTTTGACACTATTTTCATGACCAATTTTGTTGTTTTGACTTCATTTTGACCAAGTCAGTCAGGTTAGTAACTATCCTGTCTAACATTTAGAGATCTTGTCTTGTTCAAGTGAGATCTCAAACTGAGCCAGGTTATCCATGCAAATTGAAAGGAATTTCCACTATAAAAATATTAAAATAACCACACAGTGAAGTCTTGCTTACTGCAATATGGCAAACTAGAGACTCACAATTAACTTAATATTTGAAGGATGGGGCAAACAAGCTAATGGCCTTTTAAAGACACATACAACAAACTATCATACAAATGATACTGACAATACAATACAATCAGAGAGCACATTAAAACTACAATGTACAATTCTGGATATAAAACATGCCTCCTCACTTCAGCTGGCCCTACTAGGCAGCTGAGCTTTTTCCTGCACCAGTTCACCACAAGCTCATGCATAACAAAACCCTTGGCTAAATATATAAAACCTTAATTTCTTCTTTAATACACCAGAACATCATAGTTTCATCATACATGTACTGTTGTGCAACTCGATATTGCGAGGAATGAAACATTGCATAAAGTTAATACAGTAAATACAAAAAGGTTTATCTACAACCACATTATAAACACTTGTGGCTTATTTTCTAAAAAATAGAGTACATTTTACCATTTATTCCTAACATTTTTTCATGAAATATTAAAATAAAAATGTGAATTTTAAAATGTTTACCTGTTTATAGTTGACTGCATGTTTATAGACTGCTGTTTATAGCCCGGCTTGAAATATCGTTTTTGTCCACATTTTGGGAGGTTTTAATAGTTGTTTGTTGTCTTTCACGGACGAGAATAACGTGTACGACTTTCACATCCTTGAACAAACGGTCAAACGTCGAAAAAATATGTCGAAAATAACAAAACAACAAGAATTCACTGCAAAAATCCGAAATATTTTTTTCAGAAACCAGGGGGGTGTGAAAACTGTGGCGGGCTCACAATTGAGCCTTGTTCAGTGGCAATTACCATGAATTTAGGGACCAGTAGTCATGGAAATGGCGTCATTTTCACTCAAAATCCGCCATGTTTTTGGCTTCACTTGGTTGACTGAACGAAGTATAGGAGCAGGTCCTCCAGTTATTATACAGCTCAGTGCATAATTCCCATGCGGTCGATTATTCCCGCGATGGGCGACATAGTATCCCGAAAATGCCCCATTTTCAAACCGCGATTACTCGTCAGTTTGATGGGGACAATTCATTTTTTAAACTTCTCATAGAAAGAACAACTCTTCCTGAATACGATGGCGTGTCTTTTATTTAATTTACTCATTTATGAACCCAATTGTCCCCAGCGGTTTTGAAAGCCACTTTTGACACTTGTGCATTGACCCGGAAAACAGGTCAATCCAAATTGCGATTAACATATAACTAAACGTTGTTAAAACACCAAATAAAGCAAAAATCGTTAATTTGACTCATATTTAAAACAATTATAAAAACTTACCTTCAAAAATACGAACTTTTCGTGGCGAAATATCGAAATAAATATCACAACTTTTTCAACTAACATTGTGAAAAATCATGATTGTGAATATTAATGAGTTGCAATGCATGCTGGGAAGAGCTTCCACCCTCCTCTGGTTCAAAATGTTCGCATAATAAGTTCACTTACATTTACCAAGTTCAACGTTACCACATTCCTACTGGTCCAATGGGGTAAAACGGCGTTGATGCGTTGCACATCGGCAGATGAAACATTTGCCAAGGGCACTGCATCGTGATCGGTAACCAAAATTGCGGTTGTGGTGGTAACCATCATGGATTCCAAGGTGGGTAAGGGGTCATCGGCCAAGGTTGCAGATTCGTATTAACAGCTTGACAAAATAATGCTTCCCGGTTGATTATATCCGAATCGTACCGGTGGTTGTCTTACTCGTTGCGGGCGTTCTGCTGGCCAAGGGTCCTCATTGTTTTCGTCATTCCATGGTTGGTCTTCGTTCTCGGCCATTTCGTTTTGGACTGGTGCATTTACGTTTGCGATTTCATTGTGCGGAAGAACTTCTCCGTTTAATTTTTCTCCACCTTGGTCATTGACATTCACCAGATCAGGACTTTCGTTAGGAATGTCTCCATTAATCTCTACATCTGGTACTACGACTGGTTCTGGTCTCTGGGCCGATCTGTATTCTTCGAAGTTTATATCTGAGTAGCCATCTTTGTCCGTGTCGGATTCTCGTGCTTCATTCATTGCTTCGTCAGTAACGTGGGATGTTTTGACAGGTCGCTCTTCCCGATTTCTACTATTCCTTTTGTTCCCTTTGTTTGCTGATTGTTGCTCCAAAAAGTGACAGGGTAGAAGCAGATTTCTATGAAGAACACGTACTCTTCCTTCTGCTCCTTCCGACTTTACTTTGTACACTGGGCTATCTTGACCTTTTCGTTCGACCACAATGTGTATCTTGTCTTCCCAGTAAGCTCTAAGTTTTGCTGATCCCCCACGTTCGCTCAAGTTACGAACCAGGACTCGATCACCTAGATTAAGTACCAAACTATGTGCTCTCTAGCTTTCGGTCTCTCTCTCCTCTTGTGTGAAGTTGATGCACCGTTCTCTTTCTAACGATCTCGTATGCATCTTTCGTATCCGTAGCACACTGTTCCACATACTTTGGATAACTTACACACTCTGCGATAGATGACACAGTCCAAATATCTGATCAATAGGTAGTCTTGTTGCTCTACCAAACAATAGGACGAATGGTGCGAATCCTGTTGCATCGTTCCTCGTACAGTTATACGCATGTACGACTTTGTTTAGACTGTCTGCCCAATTCGACTTCTTCTCTTCTGGCAGGGTTCTGAGCATGGCAAGCAAGATCTGGTTGAATCGTTCGGCTTGTCCATTTCCCTCGGGGTGGTATGGCGTTGTTCTAGAATGTTGTACTCCACAAAGTTCCTCTAGATGTTTAAACAGGTTGTTCTCAAATTCACCGCCCTGATCGTTGTGAATACGTGACGGAAACTCAAATCGAAGGACAAAATCATTGTATAACTTGTTAGCAGCAGTTCTAGCAGATTTGTTACGGGTCGCATACGCCTGGGCGAATCGGGTGAAGTGATCTACAACGACTAAGATGTATTCATAACCACCTTTGCTGTTTTCCAAGTGAACAAAGTCGATCGATATTAGTTCAAACGGTGCTGAAGATGCGAGGTGTTGCTGTGGTGCTTTAGCAAATACTTTTGGACGTCTCTGTTTCAAACAGGAGCACACATTTGTGATATAAGGCCAATAGAACCGCGTTTTTGCCAATTGAAATGTTCTCTCCCATCTTAAATGGCCCATCTCTTCATGGAGTTCACGGTATACCATTCGATGAAATTGCCTGGGTAACACCAGTTGTAGATATTCTCCGGCGCGACGTCGCAGTATCCCGTCTTCTCCGAGTTCTAGCTTCTTCCATTCATTCATTCATTAGGCGGCGTGTCGTCTTTGTTTCAGCCACCCTGTCTCTTATTAACGGTTTTTCGGTGCTGTTTTTTAAATGCTGGATCACTTGTTTAAGATTATGATCATTTCGTTGCGTACTGTATAAAGCTTTTGGCGAAATCTCCTGTCGGGTAGCACCTGCTGTTTCATTTTGGTCTGCTTTTTCCATGTTACCTGTAACCGCGTTGATCCAAGTAGTCTTTCCTGCTGCCTGTGCTTCCACTCCTTGATTGATGGCTTCGATGTCCTCCTGGCTTGTCTCTACAGTGCATTGGCTTATGTATTCTTCGACGTGCATTGGCTTATGTATTCTTCGACGTTGATTCTTATATTATATTCATCTATATTTTCATCTTATAAACATACAGACGAACGCAGTTGTTTTACAAAAAATCTTGATTACCTCGTGAGCCGTATTCTAGTAAATAGTCAAAATGTCGAACCCTGCAGTGAAATCCCCGGCTTTATCTAAACTACAACATCCCCTCATGACCATTATTAGGAATCCTGAAAAAACCTTCTGTTTTCTAATAGCGCAGAACCTCCAAATCCATTGTGAATTCAGCTTGAGTTGTGTTTTTCACATCGTAATTTTAAAACGAAGCCAAAACAAGTACACCTGTTCGAAGTCGAACCTAGGCATGGAATAAAAATCAAAATATGCGGGGCGGACCTGCATCACACATAGATCAGGGGCGCCATAGCCGTTTCCTCGCCCGTGTTTTACAGCGCCCTGATCTGACCAAAAATGACAAACGCGCAAACTTTGTAAAATTTGAAAATGTGTCGAAATCGAGCATACTTTATCGGTAAACCTAATTGTTGATATTAACAAATAAAACCACCTTACACTACATTGAATGAAGCTTGATTACGTAAATATATGTCTTTCGTCATTATTCTTTGGTTTTGCACTCGAAAAAAATTGTTTGAGTACAGTTTGGCTTCAAGGATAGTCATTCAGTGCCAGTGTGTCCAGTGTGTTCGAATTCTGTGCGCCTCAATGTCATGAGTGCTGATTGTGACACACGAACTTCGCTCTGTTCGCTTTGTGACCTCCTGTAAATAAAATGTCTCAAAGAAATTAGAAACTTCATAATTAGTCATACTACAGATATAATTTTCATTGGTTTGTTTACCTTTAAAACTGTTATATAAAGTTTCGTTTTATAGAATGTACGAATTGATCTCGGGGAAAACTCCTGGCCGAAAGAAATGTACTCGTTGAGCGTAAACATGTCAATCAAAGCATATAGTTACTGTCGTTCCAATTGAAGTGTTGCTCAAATATTGATTCAATACATTACCTCGGGCTGACCAATTCATTTCATCAAGTTCCTCGAGATATTCATACACTTCCTAGTATAATTGTAAACTTCCTGTTCAATAGTTTGAATACACAAATCACCTTTGTTGTTTGTGCAACTAACCAATCATAAATGAAAAGGAAGTGACCAGAAATGATTAAATACTTGGAATTGGCTCTTTCACAGGAAGTGTATGAATATCCCGAGGAACTTGATCAAATGTATTGGTCAGCCCGAGGTAATGTATTGAATCAATATTTGAGCAACACTTCAATTGGAACGACAGTAACTGATCAAAGACGATGAAATGTTTCGTTGTTCTCTGATTTCCCTATCTTTGTATTGCATTAAATAGTAGTCTTAGACAGAATAATATTGTACGAGGTTTTTGTGTTTATAATATTTATATTGTTCTTTTCTGTACTAATTCGCAATTACATATGGTGTTCACTAACAAGGGCAGATTTCGTGCTCGACCAATTAGCGCATTTCTTTACATTTTCGTTTTCAGCTAATCACACAATCTCGTCCCCGAGCATGCCCGTTCGCAGGTTAAGGGTGGGCATAGCTCTGGAGAAATCGAATTTATCCAGGCCTGTGATTGGCTAACGGCAGATAGTACGTTGGATTTCCAACGTGAGTTCTATATAAACAAAGTATTTGGAATTTCTCGTCGAAAATTTGATACTTTTTACACCGAAATCGATTGAAAACAACTAGAAATTCTGGAGGAAATATGTACGAAAGCTTCGGATTGATAAGGATACAACTAAATGAAAAATACAAGGAGAACTTCGACGTTTCGAGCGAAGGCGCTTCGACTTGTGTTGTTAGTGTTCGTATATATAGTACTTGACGTTTTATATACTGTCATACCTAACACTACGTATACCATAAATTCTGACAGGAGAGTTATATGTAAATTTTAAAGCATAAAAATATATAATACTTATTATTCAGGAGATTATATTTATCAGCAAAGGTCAAGTACGATGTACACAAACACTATTAACAGCACAGATCGAAGCGCCTTCGCTCGAAACGTCGAAGTTCTCCTTGTATTTTTCAAGTAGCTGTGATCCAACCGAAGCTTTCGTACATATTTCCCCCAGAATTTTTAGTTGTTTTCGATTTGATTTCAGTGTAAAATGTATCAAATTTTCGACACAAAATTCTAAATACGTTATTTATATTTTGCAACATTGCCGAGCATGCGTAGAACTCACGTTGGAAATTCAACGTGAATCAATTCGATTTCTCCAGAGCTATGCCCACCCTTACCTGCGAACGGGCATGCTCGGGGAACGAGATTGCTAATCACAATGCAGGAAACGAGAAATTTACACCAAGGCGAGCTAAATTTAAAACCAAAAGATTATGATGCAGCGCATTAAAATCTAAAACTTTGCCGTGGGCATTTTTAAATTCCCACCTAGAACTGAAAATATCCGCGTTTGAAATTTTTCCCTATGTCCGCGTATACAAATTTGAGTAATCTAATCTGACTACAATAAAACTAAAAATTGCTATATTTTCTCTGCTTTTAAGTTTTTGTTGGAAAACTCTTTTTCGCTCTTGTTGCAAATTGTTTTGGTCAATTGGTTTTATATCAAAACCTAGACGATAACGCGTTTATAGCGCTTGATTTAAAAAAAAATATTAAATCGCTCGCTCGCGATCATATATACGGGCCGGGAAATCAATACAAAAATATTATCCGACCGATTTTGCAGAAAATCAGACTCTCTAGACGCGTTATCTTCTAGGTTATGAAATAATACATTGACCTAATTGATTCTCAACAAGAGCGAAAAAGAGTTTTCCAACAATAACGTAAAGCAGAGAAAATATAACAATTTTTAGTTTTATTGCAGTCAAATTAGATTACTCAAATTTGTACATGCGACATAAAGAAAAATTTCAAACACAGATATTTTCCGTTCTAGGTCGAAATTTAAAAAATTTCGCCTAAAAGCTTATAAGGTCGAATAACAAAATGTTGTAATCGATAACACCTGCAGTTTTGCCAAAAATTGGCTTTCAAATTTGATAATTTTCACATTATATCGTCGCCATTTTTTCACGCATTTCCGAGCTGCGTGTGCTCCTCGCGCATACCACGAAGCAGTGCTTCCATTTGCAATTAAGGAAATTTGCAAGGAAATAAAATGCAAGGAAATAAAATTTGCAAGGAAATGGCAATGAATTTTGTTGTCAGGAAGGGAATAAGAGGGATAATACGTTATTTCTAATAAATCCTAAGATTACAGCAATTTCCAAGCAAATTCGCTTCAGAAAATGTCGAAAATCCTATCCTGTGGAATGGAAAATCCGAAAAAAATTTGGAGGATGACCTCAAGCCCCCTGTTCCTTCTACTTCGAAAAAATTTAGGTAAACTTCCCCTTTGAAAATCCCTCCCCTGCAACGTCCATGATCCTTCTCGCCCTAGAAAGACACCTTTTTCAGGATAAATTATTGTAATAGCAGTTTTAAACTAGGTAAAATTCATCAACTTTAGTGCAAGGAAATTTTGACAAAAATAATGACATTTTGAGCAGTTGGCACTTGGGAAAGAAATTATTTTTCCACAATGGAAGCACTGTCACGAATGTTCTATATGTTTTTCTATTGGTCAATGAAACACGTGATAAAAACAACGTGAAACGTCACGAAATACTCAAATTACAATGTCTGAAAGCAAATGTTTTATTCATTTTTCTACGGTTTCTGAAATCGAAGAAATATTAATTGCGGCAAAAAAGCATCATTGTGTAAAATTATAGAATGTAGAAAACGTTGGTCAGTTTTAGATGGCGAGGCGAGAAGTATAAGCGAGCAAAGTTTCGCCTTTTTGAGTGGTGACGATGAGCAGATTATAGAGGGTAGCGTCGAAACACTGCCAACAAGCCGGTTTTTATACCATCGTAAATGCTATCAGAGTTTTAAAATATAGCGACTAATAGAGCTAGCTGAAAAACGCCTTGCGAAGAAAAATCTAAATGAACCAAGTCAAAGACAAATTGAAAATGCAGCCGGGACGGTTGAACCACCACGAAAGTCAAGGCGTCGAGAAAAAAGCGCTGATTCTTCATCTGGAGGTAGAACTGTTGGAATTCTGCCCCAACTATGCATCATATGCAAAAAGAAAGAACTTTTCTATAACGACAAGGTAAGCAGCTAAATACAGAAATTTTAATTTTATTATATTTTGACTTTTTCGGGGGTTTTCTCGCTTTATTAAATACAAATTCTTAATTTTTTTCCAATTTTTTCTTAAAAATTAATATGTTTTCGTAGAATTCTAATCAAAGTTTTTAAAAACTTGCTTGTTCAGGATTAGGTTTAGGGTGTGTAGGAACTGGACTGCTGGTCTTTAGCACTTTCAATTCTGAAACCTGATATTCACGGGGTTCTTTCTTGCAGAAATCGAGAAAACGAATGCTTCAAGGATTAACACAATGCGAAACAATTGATGCTGGGAAATTGCGGGAAGCAGCAGAGATGAAAAACGATGAGAATTTTCTAATTCATATCAAAGATAAGGACTGTGTGGCAATTGAAGTGTGCTATCATAAGACGTGCTACAAGAACTATACTCGTTTTCTTTCTAAGCCGGACGTTGACCAAGTAATGGATTCCGTCTTTAACACAGCCTACAAATTATTCTGCAAGGAAGTCATTGATGACCGAATATGCAAGAATCGTGAGATTTTCTTTCTGACGAAGTTGGTTAATATTTTTCGGAGCTATATCGATAAGTGTGGAGATCGAGAGGGTGAAGAAGGTTCGAGGTACAAGGCCGGTAACCTAAAGAAACGTCTTCAGAAGAGCCATCCCCAGCTTGTTTTCCATGCTCCTGGGAGAAGAAACAGAAGTACGCTAGTTTTTGCTGAGAACCTTTCTGCAGGTTCACTGGCAGAGCATTTAATAATGTCTGAGGAAGAGAGCTCTGATGGTGAAAAAGGGTGTTCCGATACCGAAGAGGAGAGGTACTGTGCTAGCACTTCTACGCGGTATGTTGAAGAAAGTAACCATGTCAAATTGTACAGAGCAGCTTTTATTTTAAAGAATATCATCAAGGATGTTCCTGTCTTCCATACTCGTTGGCCTCCTACTGCAGATGATTTTAACAAAGAAGCAATTATTCAAACTGTTCCATATGAACTGTTTAATTTCTTCTGCTGGGTGCTTGGTCTGTCGGACGAACCATCCTCCGAATCTTTGAGAGGTTCAATTGCTGAGAGTTATGAATGTAAAATTGATTCAATTGCCCAGGATGTGGTCTATTTATCATCGAAAGGACAAAAACAAACTCCAAAGTCATTGTCACTTGGAATCTTGATTAGGCAATTGACGGGGTCTGCCGAAGTCATAAATGTTTTGAATTCTTTTGGCCACTGCGCATCATATGACACAGTAATACGCCATGAGACAACTTTGGCAACCATTCAGTCCAACAACCAATCATTCGTTACAAGAGACATGGTTAAGAATCAGCCCACAGTCTTGGTTTTTGACAATCAAGACTACAACGAAGAAACAAAGAGTGGAAAGGGTCAAACACATATCGCTGCTGGTATTGCTGTGCAAAGGCAACAATCGCAGCCCGATAAAAGAGAGCCAGAAGGAAATATCAGCAAAAGAAAAAGAAGCTTGACCTTGAAAGAAGAGAGATTACCTGCTCATCACATAGGAAAGAAAAAGTCGCTAGATGTTTACCATTTATCAGAATATATATCCACCGATATTGCCGAACATTCGAGGCAACAAGAATTCTCTCGAAAGCTTGACTTGGCTTACGCATTATGTAAGTTGCAATCTGAAGATAATGGTGACAACATGCCCAGTTGGACAGGGTTCAATACTCTTTTGCACCCAGATGTTCCTGCAATGTCTACAATTAGCTATTTACCGATAATCGATAATCCTATTACAGAACGAATAGTCGACAATAAATGAGATCTTATGTCAAAGTGTCAAGATTCCAGATGAGTTAGAACTACAACAAGTGGTTCTGGTGGCTGATGAAGCGGTTTATGCAAAAATACAGCAAGTTCGGTGGAAGAGCGATTTATACGCCACGAGATGTATTGTTCGTCTGGGTGAATTCCACGCAATCATGTCATATTCAAGCTGTATCGGAAAGAGGTTTAAGAATTCCGGACTGGAGGTAATATATCAAGCATGATTAAACATATAATTTCTCATGATCTTATGATTACATGTTATGCAGCACTACTGTATAATAATTTTGTAAGTAATATGATTTTCAAGGGATGCCATTTTCATTTTCGGATATACTGATTAATTCTGGATTAGTGGCACCTGGTTCAATTGACGGTGTTATGTCTGGAAAGAAGTACAATAGATCAGTGAGAGCTTGGAAAATAATGATGGAAGCGATGGAACGTTTGACGTTTCAGTCATTCATACAGAGCAAGCCAGGAGTTGTCAGGTCTTTTACTGAGTTTTTCGAATCAATGATGAGCGCATTCCCGAAAGATCACTTCATGGACTTTGTCGACAGCCAACAAATGCAGGATATTTACAATCAGTATTCGGCATATGTCATCGAGAGGTGTGAAAATGATCTTGTCTTTTCGTTTTGGTCATCCTTCATCGAGATGGTCCAGTTGTTGCTGTTATTTCTCCGTGGAACAAGAGCCAATGATTGGGACTTGCATTTGTCAGCTATACGATCAATGTTACCTTGGTTTTTCGCCTATGATCGTGTGCACTACCAACGATACCTATCTGCATATTGGCTTGAAATGAATCTTTTGGATTTTACACACCCAGGTTAGCGTTTGGGTATTATTAATTTCGAGAGCAGTTTAGAATTGTTCATTGTCTCTCGCAACCAATCACAAATTCACTTTTTACACTGGTTGCTTTGCTTTGCTTTGCTTTGCTTTGCTTTGCTTTGCTTTGCTTTGCTTTGCTTTGCTTTGTGGTGGCTATTTATTTTTCTGACTTTATTTGATTTAAACGCTATGTATGATATAACCCACAACTGAACCGTCCAAAGGCAAAATGAATATGGATTTTCATCGATTGCCTGTGATCAAACCATTGAGCAGACATTCAACCGTGAGTCAAAAACCAAAGGTGGTGTTGTTGGCATTTCTCTCAATCGTCCTGCTCTGAAACGTTGGATCCTGTCACAACCTCAGAGGATTGCGATAGCCAGTAAATGCAAGAATATGGCTGGTATAGAGAAGCCCACAAGGTATAAAAAATATCTTTTCAAACTATTATGTTTCATTCATTTTCTCTTTTAATGATTATTTGAATAATAACCGTGGACTTTTTTTATTAAAGAGCAAGAAAGGATACTGATATATCTAGAATGAAGGCTGATGAAGAACAAGTGAAAGAAGTGATCAAGGTAATCAATGAGATGATCAACCCTTTTGAAAATGATCCACAAGAGGAAGGTCTCGTCAGCTTGTCCAGTGGCGTTACTGCCCCAGATGATGTGGTCTCAGATTTGTCAAGTGCTTTTGACAAAGGAAATGGAGCATTTACACAGTTGGTTTCAAATAAATTGCTGGTCGAAGAACCTGATATATTTTCAACGATTCCAAAAATGAAACTAAAAACATTTGATGCATTGAACCATAAGCAGCCCAAAACGGCGTGTAGAATGCACCAATAATGCTTCCAAATATCAATTTGCATTAAGCTCGCCCCATTCCTTTGTCATTTGTCGCGCGCCGCAAGCACTCAATTTGAAAAGCAGTGTTGATATATATAGATTATACCTAAGGTTGGCAACTATATCTCAACTGACAAATATACGACTTCGGCAAAACGCAAAATACTTCGCACACGTTAATAAAACATGATAAAAAATTATACCATATTGAACTCTGATATTTTTTCTACATACCCGCATATAAATTTTGTTTTCAAGACTGCAAGAAAGATGAAAAATTTGCACAAACGTTTTATGGTCTGATGAAAATTTTGTTGTACCTATGCGGGATGCTAGAGGTTATTTCATTCGTCATATTTTCAAAAAAATTATGCGATTCAATTGGTTGAAAAAATAAACAGTTTGTGACGTATTTATAGTAAAAATTTGGTTTCAGGGGGGTTGAACTACAACAGGAAGACTGCTAAAATACAAGAGCGATTTTTTTTCGAAGATGAAATGGTGGATTTTAAAAACTTTTTACATCCATCCATAACTTTTATCTACATCAAAACAACCAGGCAACTTTTGGCTACATGTACACGAAATGTCATAAAATTCTGAGCAATAATGGCGAAGAAAATGTGCTAACAAGACATAGCGATATGCGAAACGCTTCGTTGTTAACCTCAGAAAAGTTATAGGTATGAATTTATTTTATAGCGTTTTTAATACTGTATCTTGGCATGGAACAATAGGTTGGATCATTTATTTTTCCCTAGTAATCAAGTGTTCAGTATTAAATAGGTGTTTGTACTGGATCTCTAGTTATAATTTTAAATAGCTATATAGCAAGAATATTTCGAAGTGAATTCTGTAAAACTGTTTTTATATTATAAAACTGTTTTTATATCAAAACAAATTTGCATTTTGCCCTGTTTTATTTATTATCAGTTTAAAGACAGTATTCACAGTAATAGCTATATACAGTCACTAGTTTTTGTTAAAAACTAACGTGTACTTTAATAAAGTTTAAACTAGGTAGATGTTTAGGCTTTTATTATAGAATACATATAATTTAAACTTTCAGAACTTTGATACGAGGTTGTTTATATATATAAATGCAAAATTCCATGCTGGGGTATAAAATGAATACTAGCACTCTTACAAATTGCAGCCTATTTTGTGAAATACACATTCACTCAGTATTAAACGGAAAAATTTATCCAACCTATTGAACCAAGTTAAATTAAAACGCTATAAATAAATTCACCTATATAAACTTTGTCGAGCAAGGTTCACAAGTCACAACGAAGCGTTTTCGCATATCGCTATGTCTTGTTAGCACATTTTCTTCGCCATTATTGCTCAGAATTTCATGACATTTCGTGTACATGTAGCCAAAAGTTGCCTGGTTGTTTTGCTGTAGATAAAAGTTTTGGATGGATGTAAAAAGTTTTTAAAATCCACCATTTCATCTTCGAAAAAAAATCGCTCTTGTATTTTAGCAGTCTTCCTGTTGTAGTTCAACTCCCCCTGAAACCAAATTTTTACTATAAATACGTCACAAACTGTTTATTTTTTCAACCAATTGAATCGCATAATTTTTTTGAAAATATGACGAATGAAATAACCTCTAGCATCCCGCATAGGTACAACAAAATTTTCATCAGACCATGAAACGTTTGTGCAAATTTTTCATCTTTCTTGCAGTCTTGAAAACAAAATTTATATGCGGGTATGTAGAAAAAATATCAGAGTTCAATATGGTATAATTTTTTATCATGTTTTATTTACGTGTGCGAAGTATTTTGCGTTTTGCCGAAGTCGTATATTCGTCAGTTGAGATATAGTTGCCAACCTTAGGTATAATCTATATATATCAACACTGCTTTTCAAATTGAGTGCTTGCGGCGCGCGACAAATGACAAAGGAATGGGGCGAGCTTAATGCAAATTGACATTTGGAAGCATTATTGGTGCATTCTACACGCCGTTTTGGGCTGCTTATGATTGAACAAGCCTGTATCACGAATGACTTCGAAAGGTCAAGTTGTTTCTTTGAGGACTGACAGAAATACTTTTGCCAGGCTATTCGTGATTGGCCAGAAAAGATCAATCGATGTGCAACAAATGCTTTCCTTTTGCCTTGGCCCTTACCCTCTATCATTAGCAACCGTTACTGGAGGTATTTGCAAAACGACTAAGGCAAGGTTACTTCAATCATTCCAATCTGAATTCCCTGATTGCATTGTTGATAATTTTCCTGATGCCAGTTGCGTTCTTATTGATGTAATGGCGGTTTTTCAATCCACAATCCTCGTGCCCGAAACCTACGGAGAACTTGCTGAAGATATTCTTGTTAGAGTACTAGCTGTAGGCCGCAAGTTCAAGGCGTCCCGTGTGGACTTTGTGAGTGATCGTTATCCAGCACAAAGCATAAAAAATGCAGAGAGAGAAAAGAGAGCGACTCAGGGCGAATGCAGCGTTCGTATTTATGCAAAAGATCAGAAAGTTTTCAAACCTTGGAAGAAATTCCTATCAAACGGCAAGAATAAAGAAAATCTGGTTTCGTTTATGCTGGATACATGCTCGAACATGGAGGGGCGCCATTTGGGTGAACTTGAACTATTCGTCACATCTGGATCCAACTGCACAAAGTTGTCGAGTACAGCTGAAATTCTACACCATGATATGGTCATCGAATTATCAGACTGTGATCATGAAGAAGCTGACACGAGGCTGATGCTCCATGCGGCACATGCAGCAAATTGCGGTCACCAAACCATTATTATCAAGTCGCCAGACACGGATGTGTCTCTTCCAGGCACATCATTGTTTCTTTACACTGTCTCTGGTGAACACAGTAGAATATTATCGCTTGATGTAATTTCATCTTCAATACCGCCCGAGCTTAGTTCTGCTTTACCTGGACTCCATGCATTCACTGGTAGGTATATTCATTGCAATTTTACTCAACCCTTTCGTTGCCTTCAATATTTTACACTGTACAGTAATATATTACTTCATTTAGGTTGCGACTATACCAGTTCGTTTTTGGAAGGGGAAAGCGAAGGCCCTTAAACTAGCTCGATCAAATGAACATTTTCTGCAGGCGTTTTCAGAGTTGGGATCCACGGAAGAGGCTGATCATAAAGCTGTCACCACACTTGACAAGTTTACGTGTTCTCTCTTTGGTGATTCGAAAGCTCAGAGCGTGAATGACGCGCGTTATAACCTATTCACACAGGGAAAATTTGGTGAAGATTGTTTGCCTCCCAATAAAGATGCCCTTGCTTTGCATATCGACCGCTGTAACTACGTCTCATTCGTCTGGAGCCGTTGTCTGAATCAAGAGATTGGAGCTCCTGACTTTAGCTAGGAATCTTGGTTGGGAAGTGGACGAAAGTGGCAAAGTTAGCGTGAAATGGTTATCTGGTCTACCCGCGATGGACAACATTCTGGAATCCTCCAGCTGCAAGTACAAAACCGGTTGTAAGACTAAACGATGTGGTTGCAAGAAAGAAGACTTGGAATGCACAGAGCTATGCTTCTGCAGTGATTGCCAAAATCAGAAATATTCCAATGCCAATGAAGATGACGATGATTTTTACCAGGAGGACTTTGAAATGGACGATATTGACATCGAATGATTGACATAAGACATAATCAAATCATAAGGCATAAATCATAATTAAGTCAATAAGACATAATAAAATCGTTTGTACGGATAAGAAATAATTTGTTAAATTATTGTGTTTCCATCTTTGACTTCCATACAAATGATGTACATAATTACACGTGTTGGGCTAATATTGCGTGTAATTTAGCATTGTATCTGAATTGAAAACTTTGTGTCTGAAGAAATTACATAGATTTCTTTCAGAATGGTATCAGCAAACTGCGAATATAACAAGATTAAAACTAAATTTTCGAAACCCTTAAAAAAACTAGTAAGAAGATAAAAACCTTACTAATTTGATCTTTATTTTGGACAAACTTTTGATTGATGTTAATTAACATGTTTATGAAAACATGCAATCGCTTGACGTCCACACTGCGCTTAATTCCGTTGAGGCATAAATCTGCCTTCCTTTGATACGCATACTAGAACGCCCAATTGAAGGTACTATTACGACAGAAACATTTTACGCCTTTCCCCAAGAAACAGTCTCTCTACAGGAGATTTACTGTCCGAAAAATAAAGTTGCTACAATTAACTATTTGCAGATCAAACATGGACTAAAAATGCTTACTCAGCATTTTTCCAAAACTTTGGTCGGCAATATTTCAGCAGCAATTGACCGTACATGATTATCGTAATATAGTTTTTTTGTACACATGTGATGCTCTATATGGTAGTATTGTCAAATTTTTGAATTTCCAAAATTTTTAGTTTTCTTATCTATGGATGACGTCATACATAGATAAAAGCAATTTTCTCGAGACTTGCATGTTTGCCGAAGTACAACATTGGTCTTTTACCATGGAAATGGATCCACTCAACATATAATGAAATCAAAATATGGTCTCCGTGGGGGGGGAAACGAAACTTGCTTTCCAGCTTCATTCTCGTGAGTGGCTGACGGCCTAATATCTGTTCCATGCAAAGCTAGTAAATGCTTATATTTTCTAAGAATCATACGACGAGCGGGTTTTGATGTTGTGGACTTAGTAAAAGTTTATTGCTGTTACATTCGATCAGTTTTGGAATATAATAGAAACTCTATGTCGTAAACATTTTAACCGTGTAAATAAGCCAAGTAATCGCCTTTTTAACCTTTTACCAATTAGTAGTGAACATCAATATAACTTGCGTAATGATCGCCTTCCGTCTATTAAGGCTAAAACTGAACGGTTTAGAAATAGTTTTATCCCATATGCAATTAGAACTTATTCGTATTTTTATCAATGATATATCTAAATACATTATCTATCTCAGTATCTATATGTATAAATGCAGGGAGCCTGCTTAATTAAACATTTTTTCGTCATCAAAAATGAAAAATCTTGACAAACAACGCGTTTTTCGACACACAATTGGTCCTTCCCTTTCCTATATGTTATCTTGTCTTTATGCATTTTATGAGTGTCAAAAATGTCAATAGCTCAGGCCTTAAGGCTGCTTTACAGTCAAGCGTTTTTCATACGTGCGGTGTACGCACGGAAATGTTTCAATCTTTCAAAATTTTATGACATATAGGTGCAAAATACCTGAACACTTTAATCAAACATGCACAAACTAAATGCTGTCTTTTTATATTCATTCAATTTTTCATCAGTAACATTTAAAAGGGTTAAACTTGTCGGTGCATACATGCATGCACGTAAAACAGCCTTAACATGCATAAATATAGAGAGCATTTGCCTGTGCTGAATATGCTTTTGTTGAGATAAATTAAAACTCGGTTTTGTGATACAGTAAACTGAACTCTGCATGAGCCAACTTGTCATTATAGAAAATTGTCATTATAGAAACTATTATTTAACTGCACATAATATACTTTACTTGAAATAAATAAAAACTCAATTTTTGTGGGTGATCCTCTTCACTCTTCAGTGAATTTTGAGGCGTATTACTTATTAAAGAAAGCATTTGCCCGAATTTTACTCAGTCTGAACAAAAATATACAACATTATATTTTTCACTGTATATAGGTGCAAGCAATGATCTAAAGCTAGCCATCTGTGCACACTCAGTCAGAACTTTGACAGTTCACGACATATATTTAAGCCCGTTTCAAGTAGTTACTGAAAGACATGCAGTTATGCAAATTCAGCATGCAAACTTTATTTCGGCTCTGAAGTGTTTATCATTTTCGTCGTTCTCAAAAGACGCAGTGGTATATTTAACATTTTAATTAAACTGACATTTTTATCTTTATGTTACTCCAAAAATAATATACCATGCCCACTATAAGACCGGTATATTGCGGTTTTTTGACTTATTATATACATGACAAAATTACTGCAATCTGATTGGTTAAGAGAAGTGCAATTATTTCATTAATTGCACTCATCAGGGGTGCAATTAATGATTTTCGTGATGGCTGGGGGGAGCGGGAAATCAAAACAACAAAATCCAATATGGCGGCGAAATTGAGATAAGTATTTCTAACAAATGTGGACGAATTTAACTGAATTTTGGCACAAGAATAAGTTTAAGAAACATTGTATGGCAAAAAGAGCCTGTGGAAAATACCTGGAAACAGTCTTAAGAAATAATCTTGGCGGGATGCAGCCTGGGACGGGACTATGTAAGTTTGAAATACAATTTATAAATATTTTCTTAGTCTATTAAAATATGTTGTTTGAGTTTGAATCTTGTGTTCTAGTTTAAGTTATGTGCCTTTGTGAGTTTATAATCATTATACCAAATTGTTTACAAAAGAATTAAAAACTCTTGACAAAATGCAGTTGAAATATAAAGAAAGCAATTTTGTCATGCATATAATAAATAAATAATCACACGGGCAAGTCGTGCAATCAATGATTAACACTACTCGTGATATTTGAAAAATGTGCCAAATTGCACTCGCCTCGGCGGCTCGTGCAATTTTGGCTCATTTTTCAAATATCACTCGTAGTGTTAATCATTAATTGCACTCCTTCCCGTGTGATTACCTATACTAATAACTCGTAATTGCGTAATAAATGTACAAGTTGCACGGGCAGGTTGGACAGGTAAAAATGGTGAAAGGTTTATCATAATTGCAAAATTTATGCAATACTAGCCTCCTCCGCAGGCATCGCCTTTCGATTATCGGGCAAAATTTCTTGCAGGCAAAAAAATTAATAGTGGCGATGCCTGCCAAAACCCGAAGACTTTGGACCAGCTATGTAGCCCTTGTGGACCGGCTATGTTACCCCCACCCCCACGGGAGTAATTTGTTCATATCAAAACTATTGCAAAATGTCAAAAGCTGTGTTTCCCCTACTCCCATAGGATACGATCTTTTTATATTCAGACACAATTCGAAAAAATATCGATCGAGAATATCATTTTTATGTTGCAAATTGTTACAAATATGAATGAAACATTGATTATTTTGCACTTACAACGAATGGACCGCAATTTAACGAAATTCAGATGGTCAAACCACGCCGAAACTATGTAAATCGTATCGATCGACGAAGTGTGAATGGAATTTATAAGAATTTTTGCAATCGTTCAATTTATATTATATTTGGTCTGTATCCTACATGCATATAACATCAAATATTAATACTCTTGCGAAACGGAATACTCTAGAAGGCAGATGGAGTGGTAAATGTCAAAATTTCAACTGGATAATGGATGTTCTTGCCTCTTGGAATTGTCGATTACTGTTATATAATTTAGTGGACATGATATTGAAACTGGTTTGTGTACACTGACAATTTTGAGATCTTTCAGCAAAGAACAAATTTCGAATTTACAATCCCATGTGTTTTTACGCTGTATGTTACTCGTTAGCGAGAAATATCTCAGGAATTTGTTGAGTACATGTACAGCATGTAAACTATGTAAAGTTGTAAACTGCTTTATTAATAGTGCTGACTGTTCTGTGACACAAATTTGCAAGCAACTATTGTGCAAGTTGCCCAAATGTAAGAAGTGTTTATTTTCAATAATTATAAATCAAACAAAGTTATACAATTTATATTGTTGCTGTATTATGTTAGATGTTATGCTCAAGATTATTCTACTGCATCTGCTCGATCCAGCTGACTAACATTTTAGACAGCCATCTAAAAATTTGGATTTCACTTGAAAATTGACAAAAAATATGTCTTTACGCCACCAAAAGAGATTCACTTCCATGTAAATAATACAGGGATCGATCCAGCATGATCGGGTAGGGGGCTGCTCTCCCAGCTCTGGTGCAGAGTTGTCTCGGTCATGTGTGCCGCTCACCAATCAACATACTGTAATTGAATTGTAATTGTTGTTCACAACTTCACAGTTTGCTTATCATCATGTTATTGCTCAAATTACTGTATCTCATTTTGTCTATTATTTTTTGCTTTATCATGAAAAAAGCACCCCCTCCTGTCAGGGCTTGGAGGGTGCACCCACCCCCCTCCTCTAGTAAATCTGCAACTTGCAATGCAATTTCTGATAAAAGGCGATGTGATTTAAAAATAAGTCACAGGGAAATTGTGAGCATGGAACCACATTATTTTTTTCCAATTTCTTTAATTTTTCATCCATTAAAAACATGTTATACTAAAGAAGGTGTCAGCAGAACAGAATGCTGGCCATGTTCAATTATGTCACTATTTTATCTGGCAGGTTATGACATGCTTGATCAATGTTGTCATTGACAATGGTTGCTTGTCCACGTGTTGTAGCCTTGATGCTGCTAACTGTACAATGTAAACCTTGCTGGTTCACACTTTCTAGGATGCAGCACCTTAGTCTCCATCTCAGACATGCAAAATAGCACATAGTTTCTTGCATAGAAACCCTGAAATTCAACATGTTCATTTGGATTAAAAAATTATGTTATCACAATCATCTACCACGTTATTGTTTAACTGCTGGATTGTACAATGCAATTTACACCATGCAGGTACTGGACACTAGTGCACACATGAAACAAGACATAGTATAGTATAGTATAGTATAGTATAGTATAGTATAGTATAGTATAGTATAGTATAGTATAGTATAGTATAGTATAGTATAGTATAGTATAGTAAGTGAACATAGTAAGTGAACCCAGCTAATTTTAGATTTCAGACAGTAGCGTCACCTTGGATGTTGCTTCACTGATTGGCATACTCTGCCAATCTGACAACCAAACACCAGACCAAGGCTTTTTCACTCAAATCAATCTGGCTCTTGCTTTGGTTTCTATTAACACTGGGTCCACAATTATCATGCTGAAATATATTTTATCTTGTTACATTTCTACACATCCTATGCAGGGCGTGGCGACTGGGGGGGGCTTGGGGGGGGGGGGG